ATAAAACCCCATTGAAATTGGTCAAGAAATAAGCAATTTATAGGAAGTATCTTCTTTTGCACAATCCTGTGCTATCAAATATTTCTTGCTATTGCGCAATACTGTACAATTGACAATTTCTTGCTATTGCGCAATATTGTGCTATTGGATATTTCTTGCTATTGCACAATACTGTGCAATTGAAGATTTCTTGCTATTGCGCAATACTGTGCAATTGAAGATTTCTTGCTATTGTGCAATACTGTGCAATTGAAAATTTCTTGCTATTGCACAATACTTATTATATAATAATTTACACATCCTGTTTGGTGTGTATCTCCTACCATATCATTATTATTTGATTTTAAATATAAATCAGAAATAACCAATTTAAAATGGAAAATTTTAAAAGAAACAAAAAAGGAAAAAAAGAAAAAAAAGGAAAAAAAAATAAATCCCCCCCCAAAATTTTTTGAACCCCCATTATGATTCATCACCCCCAAACTCAATCCCAGCCTTCCCTTTGTGGTATGGTACCTTGCAGTACAATTTCAGAGAGATCCATACACTTGAACACAAGTTATTGTCTGGAAACTAGAAAAAAATGTGTTTTTTGGCCCCTTTTTGGCCCCAAATTCCTAAACATTTAGGGCAATTACCCCCAAACTCAAACCCAGCTTTCCCTTTGTGATATGGAACCTTGTAGTACAATTTCAGAAAGACCATACACTTACACACAAGTTATTGTCATGAAACTAGAAAAATGCTTGTTTTTTGCCCCTTTTTTGGCCCCTAATTCCTAAAATTTGGAGGCAATTACCCCCAAAATCAATCCCAGCATTCCTTTAGTGATATGGAACCTTGTGGTACAATGTCAGAGAGATCCATACACTAACACACAAGTTATGTCTGGAAGTTACAAAAATGCTTATTTTTGGCCCCTTTTTGGCCCCTAATTCCTTTACTGTTATTACCATAACCCCCAAAATCAATCCCAACCTTCCTTTTGTGGTATTGAACCTTGTGGTAAAATTTCATAAAGATCCATTCACTTAAACTAAAGTTAGAGTGCGAAAACCAATGTGTCTTCGGACGACGACGGACGACGCCGGACGACGACGACGACGACGACGCCGGACGACGACGACGCCAACGTCATACCAATATACGACCACAAAAATTTTTTTGCGGTCGTATAAAAACAATAAAAATAAGATCTATATACAGGTTGTCTATTAGTTATCAACACGGGTTAGGGTATTTAATTGGTGGTGCATAGGGTATTGTATATATGGTCGTACTGCAGGTATTCATTAAACATATATGATCAGGTAGTTGTACCTGTTTTCTGTACACAACAATAATATATTCCAATCTCACCTGTGCCCTCGGCAAAACCAACATCCAGGATGTACACAAAGAGCTTATGAAGTAATATTGCGTAATCACTATATGTCTTTATCAATCCCCCATGTGGAGTGACACTTGAAGTTTGCAACTTCAAACGAGACCTGAAATTGCGAAACTCAATCATCTGTACCGTACACCTGTGACCTATGATGAACTCATGGCATGGCACCCGAGACCCCAACTCTGGAATCCTAATGAAAGTGGGCGAAAAGAAGTGTAGTTTGGGCTTGTTAAAAAGTCCCATCTTTACACCTTCTAGGTCTGCGTGTCATTCAAAAAAACAGAAAATATCATGTCAATATTCTTTTAAATTATATTGTTGAATCCATCGGCATCACACATAATCATTATTTATCACTGTCATGCGTTTTGTTGGATAATAATCGAAACTAAATTTGTGCTGTACCCATATGTCAATTTGAATGAATGTAACCACTGACGTAGTAGCCTCGTTCTGAGTGACTTCCGGGATGGAAATATGCATATTTGACAGGTCGATAAATCGTTGCATTAAAATCTCATTAAAATACATATTTTCCTAATTAGTAGACACTTATATTGCTATCGATGTATTTTTGGGGAAATTTAAGTATAAATAAACATTTTGAAACACAAATTGAAAATCGTGTCATGTCTCCTTTAAAAGCAAAAAATATATATTGTTTACGAAAAGTAGTCAAATATATTAGTATTGAAAATAAACCAGATATAGTCGAAATGCAGGCACTTTACTTGACCGCTAAGAAAACAATGTGTCAAAGGTTAACACATCATAATTAATCCTGATAAAAACTATAAGTGTGCATTAAAAACAATGTTTACAATTTCAGTTCACAATTAATTCATACAACACAAGTTATCTGGGTCTCATAAAAATATAGTTTCATTGTTTTGTACTTTTGTGAACTTTGTGTTTACACCAAAATTTCAATATGGCTGTGAACGGGCCTACATTTGTAGTTCTAATTATGGAACCTAGTGTACATATTTTCACGAAGTCATATGCTAATGCCACCAGAAGACCATTACTAAGCAAAATTAACCCTGTTCATAATAAAAATATTGCACACATAAAAAGGAGTAGGAAATTTTATAGGAACAGTATAATTTATTTGAGCCGTGCATGTGAATCCGGTTGTAATGAGAAAGAGATTTATATTCCCCTTTTTATTTTAAAAAGTGACAATAAAAATAGGCAAATCCAAACTATAACCTATAAATATGATTTTACAACAAACTGAACTTGCAGATCTCTTTTCAATCAACAGTTATAAGAAATTTTATGAATCATATACTTTTTTCCACATCGTCCCCACGCTATTTTCATCCTGAAAATTTCAATCTTTATATGTCATTTTTTACATATAAGACGGGATTTGGTGATTAATAACAACTGAGATATCTTTTATCATTATAGTAATCAAGTTTATATTAAGGATTATCATTTCGAATATCTATAAAATAAAAAAACAAATTACCGAAATTATAAGATCAAGGCACGCTGTCACTGTCAAAACAATACGGCGTATCGATAAATAGCGCAGGTAAAGTCTCGTTCTAACGACCGTGATGTTGATATTATTACACTGATTGGTGTAACGGTTTCCGGTCCCGTTAGTATAATAGTCCCAGGCATTTACCTATAAATTTTTTTATATAGTTCAACATTACTTTCGGAGTTCTCTGGACTTTTCAATAAAGTTACTGTATTTTCTTTTTGACAATGATTTGGGTCACAAGAGTCCATAAAACATTAATTTTGGGGTTATTTGGGCAAGATAAAAGGCATCACGAATATGAACAGAATCAAGAGATATTTTTCTTTCTATATACATTCAGTCAGGGGTACTACTTGTACGAGTAATCTTTATTTACTTGAAGAAGTAAATAAAATAAACTTATATAAGTTAATTATAATGTTTAAATAATCTCCCCTTAATTTTCTCAAAAATTTACTTGTATAAGTAATTTTTTTTTACAATCCCACAAAAATTCTTGAAATGTAAAAACATGCCTTTAACAATTTTTCTCAGGTTAGCTCATAATTTTTTATTAGAGTTCAATGTTTCATCTCATTAATTCGACAAAGAAACTGATTGCGCAAAGATCTTAAGTATTTGCGCAAAGATCTTAAGTATTTGCGCAAGGCCTTCAAAAATTGCCCCTTGGGGGCTTGTAAATGAGCAGTGTTCTGAAGATAACAGACAAATGAGATTTTCATTGTCCATGAAATTACACTTAAATGATTAGTAAAGACATCTGCAAAGGACAGACAATCAAAAATTCTATTAGAGCAAAGAAGTCCTAAGAATTCAAGAAAAGAAGATAGGATGACTTTTTTACTTGTATAAGTAAAAAAATCTGAATGTCTAAGGGACATAACTAAGCCCAATTTTTTTTACCTATACAAGTAAATAAAATTCACTTGTATAAGTATCCTACAAATTTACTTATATAAGTATATTAATATTTACTTCTTCAAGTAAATAAAAATTACTTGTACAAGTAGTACCCCTGACTGACATTGTACAAGATATTAACAAAAGGAGGCAATATGCACTTACCTTTATGTTTTTTTTTATATAATTTCAAGCCGAGAGTATTGTTCTTTTAATATTTTCAGAATGACTTTGTCATCGTCATCAACATTCACCAAGTGCTAATGAATTATTTTATCATGAAAACAAGGCCAAGGGCATTTTAGTAGGGTTTTTATTTATATAAATAAATAGGAAACCATCATGCTTTCCTATTTGCTGCTGACACAGGATGAGTCATGGACATGCTTAATTTCTACTTTCTTTTTGGCTAATTATTATATATTTAATTGATCCAACTTTTTGTGTACTATACATATGTGGATATCTATTTTTCTTTTTTTCTTTTTGGGCTGCTTGTTTGTTATCTATATCAACCACACTTGCAATAAAATGCATTAGTATTAAAAAAATAAAAACACATACTATAGATTCTTTATCTACGTATTCTTTAAGAACTTAAATAGTTCTCGTTTAACTTTTTTTTTTTTTTATCTCATTGTTTGTATTGTACTATGAAAAAATTATTGATGTTGTAATGTTTATGCCCTTTGGGGCCCATAATTGGAAATAAAATATCTTATCTTATCTTATAAACATTTATTAATTATCATTTATAAATATGATTTCAGAGGTCAAACATTTGAAATCGTTCGTAATTGTGTCCAGTCGTAATTGCGTCCGGTGGGGCATTTATTTGAGCAGTTATATAATAATTATTATATATCCTCTTTGTGACATATGTATAATGTAACACCTGCATCATATTACAATTTTTATAGGTCTCTGCCTTGAATCAAATACTTAATCAAAACTCTAGATATCGGACTGTTATAGTAATGATTCGTTAATTTATTATAGACCGGGTTGACATGGGACGGATGCATGAACTTACAAACTGGAGCTTTTTCCCGGAAAAATTTGACGTGACAAAGCAATCGAGGGGGACTGGTTTCTACTACCCCCTTTCACTCTACTTATTACGTGTTTTCCGTTTCGATGTACTTTGATTAGCGTTTAAATAGTATTTTTTTGTTTTTAAATTTACAAAAGGGCACATTCGAATGGTTTTACCAGTTTCTTTGCCTTCCTCGTTTGATGTTTTTTGCCATGTTAGCCTCGTAGGTGCAAATGTACTTCCGGTTGAAAGGATGCCTCTATAAATAATACAAAAGGTCCGACCACACGGTTATTTCGTAGTGCAAATTTCTTTTAGACATTAAATTCAAATCTAAATAAATCATTATCGCACCTGCTCTATCTCAAAAAGATTTTTACAGTGTAGTGTACTTCTATTGGGACAAATAGTATCAAAATAATAGAAAAGTCTACCAGCTTAAAATAACTCAAAATATTGACAATTCTATGTTAAGGGGGTCTACAATTCAGTTTGACAGCTTCAGAAATACTAATTTTTGACCTTTTTTAACTGGACCAAATCACTACTGAAGGGACAAATAACATCAAAATAATAGAAAAGTCTACCAGCTCTAACTCAAAATATTGACAATTCTATGTTAAGGGGGTCTAAAATTCAGTTTGACAGCTTCAGAAATACTAATTTTTGACCTCTTTATCTGTACCAAAGCACTACTAAAGGAGCAACCATTAAACTTCAAAGGGTGAGGGGGGTATTGGTTTTTGTCTGAGTAAGACATTTTTTTTTGTCATCTGCTTGACCACAATATTTTTTTTTTTATCAAATTGGACATCAAAATATTTTTTTAAACAATACCCTCCCCCCTTTTTGAAGATTAATGGTCGTTCCCTAATGAGCCTCCTCGTGGGGTTTTTGATTATGTGATTACTTGGCCGTTTTTATAGTGATTATTTGATTACCAGACCAAATATTTCATGATTATTTGATTATTTGATAATCTTGGACAGTATTTTTGATTATTTGATTATCTTGTTTAAAAAAATAATTAATGATTATGTGATTATATTGGCAAAAAAATTCTGATAATGTGATTACTTGGATACCCCCATGAGGGGCCTCCCTAATATAAAGATTCAGCACCAAATTTTTTTAACATGTAATTTCATCCCCTTACTTCATAGTTCATGCAAAAAATAGAAATAAAAGTTCGAAAGAGTATGAAAAAAAATTGCAAGTTATGTACACTGTCCTCACTAGGGACTATATTTGAAGACACAGAAAATCAAAGGAAGAAACTGTGTCCTCGGACCTAAAAGAATAGAAAGACTTGACCAATCAGTCTAATAAAACTTTGCAGGACTTAAGCATGGGAATTATAAGATAGTTGGCCAAGTTTCATGGCCATAGGATATATATTATAGAAACTATGGCGATTTTAATATTGAAATTTGGATGTTTAATTTTGACGTTTAAATCAAATAATTTCAACTATCAAGATTTCGGACTTAAAAATTAATTAAAACTATAGCTTATAGTACGGACGTCATCGGGGTCGTTTGACTCAATAATGACAATACAAAATTAATATGCTACGACGTCTTCTTAGAGTAACAATTCTATGAGTTTAAAAACTATTGCCAATTTGGATTTCCCTAGAGTTTTACATATGTATTAAACAAGTACCCACAAAAAAAAGATGAAATAAAACCTACACAAAAGAGCCCACGTTCAATAAGTACAGCGATAAATGGAAGATGCAGAGCTCTATACATTTTTTCAATGTGGTCAAGGCGAATGTTAATGCACAATAATCATAATTCATAACTAAAATGGGCACTAAAGCAAAGTTTTGTTATTAAGCTTCTATGATGTGTACTACTACTGAAATTATTTTTCATTTTTTAACAGTCTGTAGATTCTTAGTTTAAAGAGAATGTAGTACACATTATATACCACAGATACCCTGGTGCATGCAACAAAGGATGATGTTGTACACATTTAAACGGCACCAAAAAAAAACAAAACAAACAAGACATATACAAATAAAAATAAATAAAACTCCGAGTAGCCGATTCTATGAACTACTTCGTGTTGTAAAGTATTATATGTGTCAGATTACATTTTTCATTCCAAGCCTTGTTTCGGTAGGCGAGGAAAGACTTTTAAACGTTATTATCCGTATTCAATTTGTTTTATTTCTTAATCATGTTTCTTATTATTCTGTTGACCAATTATTGCACAAAATTTAAGAGAAATGTTTGAAATACGAATTTGAAAAACAGAAAAACGAGGGTAGAAATTCTAAAATTAATTTCTATTGTCTACACGTGAACCTGAATCAATCATTATTCATGACTTGAAATATTATATTTTTATTTCCATTTTGTATGATGAAATACACATTGTAATTGGCATACATGAAATATCTTTTAGAATTCGTTCATTGATAAATTGTTCTTTGCTCAACGTTCAGTGGCAGGTATTTCATGCAATATTAAGGACGACTGAGATCTAATGAACAATAAATCTGATGCTCATTAGGTCCTATAAAGTAAAAGATCTGAGATGAATGGCTGAAAATTGAGATTGCCACTGGGAAAGGATGATATTTTGGATAGGAAGAGAAATCATTGGGTCATGATTACCTATTAATTTAACATCCCCATTTCGAATGAAAATAAATATTGTTAAGTTATTGCTTTCCATGATGAAACAGCATGATATAAAATGTATTGAAATATCATATCGCAATACAAGTATATCGTGTTACATTTGAGTACCATTACAAAAAATACTTAACAAGTCAATCGCGGCATTTGAGCCCAAAAAATATTTTCCAGTTCTCTTAAATAAAGCGTGTATTGTGAATATTAATTTTTCGCATAATCAAGTATAACAGTTACCTTTACGTAGTACACATTATATATAACAAGTACCCTGGTTGGTGTTACACAAGAGGATGAAGTACACATTATATACCACAGATACCCTGGTTGGTGTTACACAAAGAGGATGAAGTACACATTATATACCACAGATATCCTGGTTGGTGTTACACAAGAGGATGAAATACACATTATATACCACAGATATGATGAAGTACACATTATATACCACAGATACCCTGGTTGGTGTTACACAAGAGGATAAAGTACACATTATATACCACAGGTACCCTGGTTAGTGTTACACAAGAGGATGAAGTACACATTATATACCACAGGTACTCTAGTGGATGTAACACAGGAGGATGTAGTACACATTATATACCACATATACCGTGGTCGATGTAACACAGGAGGATGTAGTACACATTATATATAACAGGTACCCTGGTTAGTGTTACACAAGAGGATGAAGTACACATTATATACCACAGGTACTCTAGTGGATGTAACACAGGAGATCTAGTACACATTATATACCACATATACCGTGGTCGATGTATCACAGGAGGATGTAGTACACATTATATACCACATATACTGTGGTCGATGTAACACAGGAGGATGTAGTACACATTATATATAACAGGTACCCTGGTTAGTGTTACACAAGAGGATGAAGTACACATTATATACCACAGATACCCTGGTTGGTGTTACACAAGAGGCTGAAGTACACGTTATATACCACAGGTACCCTGGTTAGTGTTACACAAGAGGATGAAGTACACATTATATACTACAGATACCCTGGTTGGTGTTACACAAGAGAATGAAGTACACATTATATACCACAGGTACCCTGGTTAGTGTTACACAAGAGGATGAAGTACACATTATATACTACAGATACCCTGGTTGGTGTTACACAAGAGGACGAAGTACACATTATATACCACAGGTACCCTGGTTAGTGTTATACAAGAGGATGAAGTAGACATTAAATACCACAGATACCCTGGTTGATGTTACACAAGAGGATGAAGTACACATTATATACCACAGATACCCTGGTTGGTGTTACACAAGAGGATGAAGTACACATTATATACCACAGATACCCTGGTTGGTGTTACACAAGAGGACGAAGTACACATTATATACCACAGGTACCCTGGTTAGTGTTACACAAGAGGATGAAGTACACATTATATACCACAGATACCCTGGTTGGTGTTACACAAGAGGATGAAGTACACATTATATACCACAGATACCCTGGTTGGTGTTACACAGGATGTAGTACACATTATATATCATAGGTACTCTGGTGGATGTAACACAGGAGGATGTAGTACACATTTTGTATAACAGGTACCCTCGTGGATGCAACTTAGGAGGATGTACACATATACAACAGATACCCTGGTTAGTTTTACACAAGAGGATCTAGAACACATTATTTACAACAGATACCCTGGTTGGTGTAACACAGGAGGATGTAGTACACATTATATACCACATATACCGTGGTCGATGTAACACAGGAGGATGTAGTACACATTATATACCACATGTACCCTGGTTGGTGTTACACAAGAGGATGTAGAACACATTATATACTACAGATACCCTGGTTAGTGTTACACAAGAAGATGTAGAACACATTATATACCACATTAACCCTGGTCGATGTAACACAGGAGGATGTAGTACACATATATCACAGGTACCCTGGTTGGCGTAACACAGAAGGATGAAGTACACATAATATATCGCAGGTACCCTGGTTGGTGTAACACAGGAGGATGTAGTACACATTATATACCACTGGTATCCTGGTTGGTGGAACACATGATGTAGTACACATTAAAATATACCACAGGTACCCTAGCTAGTTGGCGTAACACAGGATGAAGTACACATAATATATTGCAGGTACGCTGGTTGGTGTAACACAGAAGGATGTAGTACACATTATCTACTACAGATACCCTGGTGGATGTAGTACACATCATATACCACAGGTACCCCGGTAGGTGTAACACAGGAGGATGAATTACACATAATATATCGCAGGTACCCTGGTTGGTGTAACACAGGAGGATGTAGTACACATTATATACCACTGATATCCTGGTTGGTGGAACAGATGAGGATGTAGTACACATTAAAATATACCACAGGTACTGTGGTGCATGTAACACAGGAGGATGTAGTATACATGTACATTATATACCACAGGTACCCTGGTGGATGTAACACAGAGCACAACAGCATGTTTGTCAAGCAGGATTTATAACCAGTTCTCATACTTTATTATTTTGAAAGATTGCCTATTGGACCATTACATACATTCTTCCATTCTTAAC